AAAAAAAATCGCTAGATGGAATCATCGCAAGAAGATCAACTGCCATTCCCGCTCGTGTCCAATCTCGCTTCCCTTACCTCAGACACTATTTCTCTCATTCTGTCAACGACATTGATAATCTCCGGTCTCTCCCTAGCGTCCATTGTGGAGCACTCCATCGCCAACGAGGTTGCCCTCACCACCGTGCTCGTAAGGGCGGTACTGCTCCCAACTTCGTATCGCAGGCAGGGATCAACGAACGATTGCATGAGCCCCGAGCTGTTTTGAGTATAAAACTGTTCAACCCAGCAATGGAGAAATTCCCGACGAGGGCCGGATGTCGGCCTTATTGCCGGCTTACCAGTCAATAGCTCCAGAAGGATCAATCCGAAACTGTACACGTCGCTCGTCTTTGACCATTTTCCCCTAGTGAGGTACTCAGGTGCGAGGTAACCAGCAGTGCCGGTGAACCTCGGATCCAAGACTGTCTCGGCGACGATGGGAAGGCCAAGGCCGAAATCAGTGACGACAGCACGCAGATTGTCTTCGGCGCCACCGGACAGAAGAACGTTGCAGCTCTTTACGCTCCCATGGATCACGTGGGGATCCGCGTCGGAATGGAGATATCGAAGAGCTTCCGCGATCTGCAACGCGATGGACATGCGTTCCAGCAACGTCAGCGGCGGAATGGGGGCTTCGTCGTGAATCTCACATCGTTTGTGCAGGCGGTCGTGCAAGCTACCGCCAGGATAGTAGGGGTACACCACTATGCGCTTGCTCCCCTCGTTACAGTAGCCAACGATCTGTATAAGATTGGTGTGAGGCAGGCGGCTCAAAAAGTTCACGTCCAAAAGAAACCGCTGCAGTTCGCTTGCTGTTAGTGTCTCCGCCATCACCTTGATTGCCTTATCACTGCCGCCGATCTGACCGCGGTAAACAGCGCCAGAAGCGCCCCTCTCTCCAATCCGATAGCGCGAATCAAAGTTGTTCGTACACCGCTGAAGCTCACGCAGACGGAAGGGTTTCGCAGAGCTGGCTTCGTGTGTCAAGGGCACGCCAGTCTTGCACGGCGATGGCTGCGAGGCCTTGTCGTCCTTCCGCCGCCGGCAGACAACGAACAGCACGCCAGCAACAAGAGCCACAGCTGTCACTGACACAATCGGAAGGGCAATTAGGAGAATCAGTCGAGCTCCGGCAGAAGATCCTTGGGAGGAGTCGAGAGAAGGAGGAGTGAAAGAATTGGACTGTGTGGACGTCGTGGAAGGCGACGAGGTGGAGGGGGAAGGCGTCTTAGGAGAGGACTCCAAGGAGGAAGGGATGGCTCTGAAGGTAGGAAAGGACCCGGAGGAAGACGGCGTGATTCCAGGTGAAGATTCCGGGAGCAAGGATCGAGAAGGCTCGTTCTTGCGGCGATACAGGGCATCCGCAGAAAAGGATACTTCGCTCCATCGCGCCTCAGAGTCAGTCGTTCTCTCTGCGCGTGTTTCTCCGACCGCCACAAGGAGGAGGGATTCGCAGACACGCAAAGTCAAAAGGAAGATGAGACCAGCCGACAGGACAGCTGTTCGTGAAGCTGCCCCGCGAGAGGAAAAGAAGCCGCAGGGGCCGCACTTTCGCTGCTGCTGTGTCGCCATGTCCATATCCTACAGCTTCGCTTACCCGTCACCAAGCGAGTACACAACTCTCACGTATCCTAGCACCACAAAGCTGCGCACAAGTCATGCCCCGCTTTGTTGGTGTCCCCACGCATCCACCAGACACTACGGCACAGCAGGCGCAGCTCCCCACCTGTAGACAGGAACCATTTGCAATTATGAAAGACAGCTTCTACATGCCGGTACAAGCTCCCTTCCGCGGCAGTCACGCGGCTCACCGAGTTGGGACTCTTGAGAGCATACTCACATCAGGACTTTCCACTCAGCTCTGGGGCATGGTCCCACTAGCAACGGGGATTGGATTAAGATCCTGAATCTGGGCCTGTTGTAGGCAGAGATGCAGAAAAGGTGTTCAATCTCGATTTTCTGCACTTATCCAGAAATGCGGCCAAATTAAGGCCTTCAATCCAATCCTCATTGCTAGTGGGACCACGCCCCTGGACGTCGTTGTTGCTTGCTGCACTTCCAGTCGGATAAATCCAGGAAGTCCAGTATACGGGTCGCTCTGCACTACCCTAGGTACTCACACTAGGAGGCTTGCCACACACGCTGTCGAAAACAAGTTGTTGTTTTTTTTTTTTTTTTTTTTTAAATTAAAGGGCGATGGCCTTGAGGTATAATCATCGGACTAACCAGCCCAGGTAAATTCAATCTTGTGTCTAATCTGACAACGGTGGCCTTTACAGCCCAGGGTGGCCTGATAGCCTTAGGGTGCGTTGCATGGCCACACGGACTTCAGAAGAAAATAAATTACCGCTCAAAAGACATTCAAGAGATGGTACGCTTGACAGCCGCCCTCGCCCTCTCCCATTCGATGGTACGCTTGACAGCCGCGCTCAAAAGACATTCAAGAGATGGTACGCTTGACAGACGGTTTTTTTCTTTTTTCTTTTCCCAAGGCTCAGAACTACCAAGAGAAAGAAAGAAAAAAAAAAAACAAAAGAAGAATTACCAAGAGATGCAGCGTCCTAGCTCAATTGGTTAGGCATACAAGTGGCACTCAGGAGGTGGGTTCCATCCCAATTGCCGGCTGTAGCACTTCTGGAGCCAACCAATTGAGAGTCTGAGATAGTCAGCTGGGTCCTCTGAGATAGTCAGCTGGGTCCTCCCAGTCGGTATTACTGAAGTCTTCAGCCAATCTGTGTGTCACAAGATGTATCTATGGGACGCTGCACCCTGTTTCCAGCAGATGCCGCTCCCCACCAGTAGATGGGGCAGCCCGACAGATAAGCCCTCCAATGGCATTCCGACTATTCCCTTGCCACTGCCGGGACAGAGGGCTTACACAAGGGTTTCTTCTACCTTCCGCGTCGGGTTTCGACAAGTTCTTGCCAGCTCCCGAACTTTTAGGAGGCCGGGCCCGGCTGCCGTTGATAAATCTGATCGGCGGCCTCCTGAAAAGGCCCACTATATACGGAACGGACAAAGGTACTAGTGGTTAGAAAAAAAAGAAAAAGGTCTTCAGCCAGCACGGGTGTGAGTGCGTTGGGTGTGGTGTGTGGGAGAGTGTTGGCTCTAGACACTAATGTCACTCTATGCGGGTGGGGGAAGATGAAAAGGGAGGCACAGTTACTGGCAAATGCTCGGTCCTTGTGCTAGCCGGGGCCCCACCGGGAGCCCCCACCCTGCACCCTAAACACTAGGGTAAAGGGGCAAACATGCCTCTACCCCTCTCCAAGCAGAGAGGTAACATGCGGAAGAGAGGTTGCAGGGGTTTGTGAGGTGAGAGGAAGAAAGAAAAAAAAAAAACACTAGAGAGGGCAGGGTCTTCTCAGTCTACCCGAATAGAAACATCTGGGAACATTACCCAGTTTCGCTTTTTACAGGACCCCGCTTGGAGGAGACGGAGTCCATGACAGTCGTTCCCTGGGGAAAGATGGAGTCCATTTGGCCATGATGATAAATTGCGTTCACCTGCCTTTCGGATAGAAACATCTGGGAGCATTACCCAGTTTCGCTTTTTAGAGGACCCTGCCTGCAGGAGACAGAAATTTGAAAGTGCCTAACCTGCCTTTCAAAAATTGCGTTCAAATCTGGCCATGACTATAAACCTCGCCCCTCGCCTCCAGGAGACGGATAGACTGTTCCGTGACAGCCGTGCCCTGGCAAAAGACGGAGTCCATTTGGCCATGACTATAAACCTCGCCCCTCGACATCCTGTGTGGCGCCTCGCCCCTCAACAGCCTGTGTGGCGAAGGGGGGGTAAACTGTCCACCACCCCACTTTCAAAAATTTTTGGACAGCTGCCTGCATGGCGAGCCTCTAGGATTTTTTTCCACTTATCTGTGGACATCATTGCCGTCAGGTGCACCCAGGCCGGATCAGAAGAGAGGGATGTCTCGTTAAGGCTGCAGGGTTTCAATGTCTGTGGGGTAGACCCGAATGCTCTCTGCTGCTGAATTGAAATTCCGGGGCCACGGGGGTCGAATAGTAAGCTTGCTTACTCGACCCCTCCCCCTGAAGGAGACACCTAAATGAATATCCCAATAATATCCCCACCTCCCCCTGGGGCACCCCCCCAAAAAAATTGGACCTTCAAAATTTTACTACGGATTTAGACAACTCTTGAAGAGTGCAGTCGAAATCCACCAAAAAAAAGGGAAAAAAAAAAAGAAACAGAAGAGAGCTCATATACATACGGCCCATGGTCTGTCTTGGAAATTCCGGTTGTTTACCACCGTTGGCTTTGTTGGCATTGTCGTTTTGTGTTGTGGACACCAACGCGTCTCCTGGTAGTCAGGGCAGTGGTAGGTTGTCCGAAGTCCAGGGTAGGCGAGCAGAATTTATAGGTTTGGGAGAGGTGGAGACCAGTGGGTTGTGTTGTGGGAACCGGTCTGCAAGGGGTTTGTTGGTTGTGTTTGCTGCTTGTTTTTCCCTCCCTTTTTTTTTGGGAAAAGTCATAAGACCTCCCCGCGACGAAACCTTTGTATCCGTTTCCCCCCAAGCGGGAAAAGAAGTGCCTAAGAAGATTTGACTTCTTTTTAGTCAGAGGTAAAATATGGGACAGATGTATGAAATTGGAATTGGGCACGTCGTCGTTATCAGGTCATTGTCCGATAACAACGGGATTTGATGCCAAAGACTCTTCTAATGCTGCCAAATCTCCATTTCGCTTCGATGCGGAACATCTTAAAGATAATAACTTGTTAATTTGGGCTAAGAAACATTGGGATAAATGGCAGAAAGCAAGAGCCCTTTTTTCTAACGTGGAATCATGGTTCGACATAGGTATGAATATAATGAAAAACTATTTCGAGGTTTTTTCTCAAATTAAGGCAATTGAAGGGAATGCGATTAAACAGAAATGGGTTAAAAGAATCAGAGAAGCAGATAATAACTTTGGGAAGCACCCGGTGTCTGATGAATATTGGACTGCACCTCGAAAAAGAGCCTTGACCGAGCTAGACAACCTAGAAATAGCCCAACAAGAAAAATTGAAGGATTGGCTCCACCAAAAAAGGATTATCTCAAATGACAGACTGAAGAAGGAAACATTCTGGAAATTACTTTTACAGAAAACCAAGCCACTAATTAGGGAATTATCTCATCGTTTTGTAATTTCTACACCTACTAAATCCGACCCACAGGGTATATGTGAATTTGCACAAATGTACTTTCAAGACATTCTAACTATAAGAAGACCTTCGGACTCTCTTTCCACGGATTTAAGGGAAAACTCTGCCTTTTGTGCTAGGTCAAGTGTCTGTCTTCCCACAGAGGGGAGACTGGATTTCGACCGACCCTTTACGGTAGAGGAAGTCAAATTTGCAGCAAAACAGATGGCATCAGGGAAATGTCCTGGCTCTGATGGTTTTCCAATAGAAGCGTACATTGCCCTATGGGAAGCCGTAAGACCAGTTTTAGTCGAAATATATAATGGTATCTTATCGGGCGACACCCTCTCCAAAGGTATGCAACAAGGAATAATTACTTTATTGTACAAAAGAAACAATAAACAAGATATAAGAAACTGGCGTCCAATTTTCCGACTAAATGTCTCCTACAAAACCCTAGCTAAAGCCTTAGCATTACGCCTTGCCCACTATCTTTCAGCTCTGTAAGATCAGATCAAGGCGCTTTTGTTAAACACGGATCTATAATAGACAACATTGCGGCTACTATCCAAGCCCTGGAAGTCATTGCACGATAGGAGAGGGATGTAGCAATTCTCCCCATTGATATGGACAAAGCCTACGATAAGGTAGGTTGGACGTTTGTAAGAACAACTCTAACTCATATGGGCTTTGGTCCGAACTTTTGCAGGTGGGTACCAGCCATGTACTCTACCTCAACTACAATGGTGTAAGTGAATAACCAACTGTCCAAAGAGTTTAAGTTTTCCCGATCACTGCGCCAGGGCTGTCCGCTGACCCCCTTAGTTTTCGTGTTGCATCTTGAAATACTGTTGGATAACATCAGAAAAAATAACTCGATTACAGGTTTGAAACTGCACAACGAATACCAATGAAAAGGAGGGGCTATTGCCGATTATCTAGCCGTATCATGCCTAAATGGAAGGGAATCGTTGTATGTTGTGCTCAAGGTGCTAGATGATTATGCTATATTATCAGAGATCTCTATAAATCTGAATAAGTCAGTATACTTTTTGCCTGCATAAATTCAATTACAAGCGAACTGGGGTATGAGACGCATAGAGACAGATGCGTCAGACAGGTATCTTGGAGTCCAAGTGTCCTTATCCAACAATTGAAAGCTGCAAGATCAACTGTTGGAAGAGAAGGTATGCTAGAGAATCATGAAATAGGACTTTATGAGACACCTTTCCTTACTGGGTCGGGCCACTGCTATTTCGGCGTCAGCCCCCTCACTTCTATGGTACCCTCTGCAACCGCATGTACTCGGGAACCACGCATATAAGAAGATCAGAAGGGCAGTGTCCCAATTTGTGTGGAGACCAGAAGTAGAAGAGGGGGAAGGTTTCCTCTACAAAGTAGCTTGGGAGAGCATTACGTTCGCAAAGAAATAGCAAGGATTTGCTATTCCGGAC